ATTAGGTCGATGTGGTGTTGAATATCTCTCATGGGTGACAATGATTTTGGTAACTCATCAGGAGTTATATCAGAATATTCTTTAATCAATGGTTGCATTGTCATGAGAATTTCAGAAGTTTGCTCAGATTCTTATCATAACATCAAATAGACTATCTCAAAAATTTTTAGTTCATTTGTGTTGAGAAGTAATTCAGGAGTGGTTACTTTTGTTTTGGATTAGATAGTTTTGGCAGGAGAGTCAGGAATATTCTTCTGGGGGTACAAGGTGAATTCTTGGTTGTTTTGAGTGAGGCTGTAAGTATTCTTTTACCCATTTTGAATTGTCTTGTGATCAAATTGTCAGGGACGACCAAGTAAGATATGACATACTTTGAGGGGCATGATGTCACACCCTACTTGATCTCTATAGGAGTTTCCAATTGAGAGGTTAACAATGCATTTTTGTGTGTCAGGGACCTCTCCTCCTTTAAACTAGGATATCTTGTAGGGTTTAGCAAGTGGTTTGGATTTTAGCTTAAGTTTGTCTACTATAAGTTGTTATACAAAGTTTTCGGAGCTACCACAATCAATCATAAGGGTACAGAGTTTTCCTTCAATAGTGCAAGTGATTCAGAAGATATTTTGCCTAAGCCATTTGTCCCCGGTGTCAACTTTGGTAGTTAAGACCCTTTGAATAACTAAATATTGGTCCGCTTGGTCACCTTCAACATCAATCCGTTCTAACTCGATCTTATTTTCTGGTTCAGATTCAACTTCCTCCTCATTTTCTAAGTCATCATCTTTCTCAATATGATTGGTCCTAGGAGGGTTATTCTTTCTACAAGCTATCGAAAGGTGTCCATATAAACCACATTTGTAACATGGTCCAATTGGCTTTGGTCCTATTACACCCTTTATCAATGGTTTGAGCTTCATTAGGTTTTGTTCGCAGATTTGGATTTGAAGAAGATGCTCCAATGGAGGTTTGTGAAGATTTGATTCTAATCCCACTAGATTGTCGAAGCTTAATTGATTCAATTGCTTTATTATTGCCTCTTTGTTGTTGTTTTTCAATCTTTAGCGTCATTTGATAAGCTTCATCGAGTTTAATTATGTGATGTAAATTCAAGTGATATTGAATAGACCACTTTAATCCATTAATGTATCGAGTTATTGTTCGTTCTTTAGATTCATTCAAGTCATTTCTTGATTGTAGTTTGTAGAAATTTTCAATGTATTCTTCTATGGATTGATTCCCTTGACTAATATTATTGTAATCTAGAAACAGAGTTTGGGAATGGTCAGAAGGCAAGAATTTTTCCCGCATTTTTTCTTTCATTCTTTCCCAAGTTTGAATTTTTTCTCTCCCTTTCCTTACCCTATTATTTTGAAGGTTTTTCCGCCACGTTAGAGCATGACCCGTCGGTTTTAAACTAGCAAAATTAACTTTCTTGTTTTCAGGAATTTCTTTCCATTCAAAAAATTGGTCAATTTTTTTCTACCAATTTAAGAAATTGTTCAGGTTGCTGCTTACCTTCAAATTCGCTTACATCAATTTTAATTCCATGATCTCATTGTCTATTTTGCTTATTTTGATTTCTAGGAGCTTCATCTTCACTTTCAGTGTTTTGTGCATTGTTCATATTTAAGGTAGTCAAAGTGTTAGCCATAGTGTCCAATTGTTGTTGTAGGTTAGCTATTTGTTGCCAATCCCCTTGATTGTTTTGATTATTCATTTGATTTTTAAAAGGGAAGACTCACACACTAACCTAGGCTCTGATGTCAAATTGATGGGAACTAGAAAGATTTAAACCCAATAGAGAACATAAAAGAAAATAGGACACGTCTCAATCCAAAACTTAGTAAGCAAATCACCAAATAAACATGAAATAAATTGAAATTATTATTATTTTTTTTATATTTTAAAACTAAAAATAAATGAAAATACCGTCAGAACAACCAACTAGTAATCACCTCACATGTAACGATAATTAGGTAAATATAATGCTCAAGGACATGCAAACCAGTGGTCCATTACAACAATTTTGATCCAACGCCCGCCAGAACTTCTCTGGCAAATACAAACAAAACAAACCAACCAACATCATTCACACTTTTAGAAGAAGGATATAATGGGGTGGAAATTTATGGAGAGAATAATTAGATAGAAGACTTGGAAGTAGAAATAAGTAGAGAAGAAGTAGCTCTCATGCTAGAGAAGAAATCCTCATGTTTTAATTTCTTTTCACATCCAAAATTTGTCTCTACAGCAGCCCAAAACACCTTCTTAAATAGGAAAGAAAAGGAGGCCAACAGTCAGCCACAACCGCCTATACAACCAACCAAAAAAGGGAAAAAGGCAGTATTTAAGGCACTGCTGAAGCCCATAATACGAACCACTACAGCTAGGAAAATCGGGAAAGCCAGGGAACAACAACAGGACCCGAACAACCAGGCCAAAGGAATCAGGAAAGCCACAGAAACCGAACAACCATCAAGTAGACAGTAGACCATCTGCCCCCCTCCCCCCATCAAACCCAAATCAGCCCAAACACAAAGCACCCAAAGAAGCTAGCATACCAAAGGAATAACGTGTCCAAAGAACACCCAAACCATAGATGTTCATCGGTTGCCTTCCTTCATTGGGTAAACAAAAATTAACTAAAAAATTATAATAAAATAACATAAAATAAAAGTATCTTAAAACATGAGCATGAAGTATTGAATGCATTAGTACTCTTTTAATTCTGGCTTATAATTATCAATGACAAGTTCATAATATTCAAAATCTTTGATTGGAACAGTTTTTAGAACATAGTTTTTTAATAGATTTTTCCTAGTAGCTTAGTTTGTGAATCAATTATTACCGTAGAAATGATTTTAGATTGGGCTGGTGTTATGTTGGTTTAGTAAGATATTTATCTGCTGGTGATGAACTATATGAAGATGGTGACATCTTTTTTTATAATAGAAAATATGTAATATTCTTAGAAAGAAGGTTATTGAAATATATTTTGTTATCCGTGAATGTTTAGGGAGAATTATTTTTCACTACATGGTTAATATCAAATTTAAGTTCACTAATGAATGTATAAATGTTAATTCATGGTTCTTTAGACCAATAAATCCATATACTGATATCTTCAAACTTATAAAAGTAATCAACCACTTTTTGTTTTTGTTGTTTAAAGTTATTGAGTTAAATAATTACTTACAATTTTAGGTTTTGTAGGTGTTTTTGTTTAAGCATATATTTCATTTCAATTGAAGTAGTGGTAAGTTATTTATTTAAAAGCATAATAACACTTTCAATTTTCTTTCAAAATCATTTTTGTATGTTCTACTAAATTTATTTTAAATATTCTAGAATATTATACAACACACATTTTATGCAAATTAAAGGAAATTTCAAGTTATCCAATTAATAAAGGACAATCTGATCTTGCATTCTATGAAATGTACTTATAGCCATCTTAACTTGTGGGTAATATTAATATTCATTATCATGACATTGTTGTGAACCTTGATGAATTGTACTAGTTCTTTTGTGTTGATGATACATGTGATATTGATCATATACACTAATGCTAGGAGTAGGAGCCTAGGATTTTGTTTAGCTACATGTATGGGGTTGTCTTCTGAAGTGACATCACATATTATGTCATCAAACTTATCTAAAATTTTTCAAGAATATCAACCATTCGTGTGGTGGTATTCTTATACATGATCAATGGCATGCTAAAATTAACAATTAAGTAATTTTGGCCTGGTTATATCATTTAATTAGCAAAAACGGCATTTTATCAAGATAAGTAAACTTAATGCAAATTAATTTCATGCTGATTGTTAGGGTAATGTAGAAGACCATTAAATGGATGAGATTTTAAATACTTTTCAACAACAATTGAATGAGTTGATAAATAATCAATATCAAAATTATGAGATTAACATGGTTAAAGCATGAATTGACACAAAAGCCATAGAGAGATGCATGTTGGTATCAGCTGATGAGCTGAATAAGGAGAGGGAGTTTTTTTTTCGGAGTAGGAGAGCACATTGAAATGTGAGCTTACAGGAGAGGGAGACATGTTGAGAGAGCGTTAATTTGTGTGGGACTTGGGAGTTTTGGAAGATGCAAGTACAAGAGGTAGAAGCATTGGAATTGGGAGGCGAGCAACAACGGGCATCTTCGGATTTCTTGGAAAGTACATTGACAAGGGAGGTGTGACCGTGTGAGAGGGGGAGGTAGAGTAGCAATTGGGAGTGCTCTAGGGCTAGACATTGTACACATAAATGGGAGCGAGTGATGATGTATGGGTATGGTGTTGTTTTTTTCTTTTACTTTTTTTGGGCAAGCATTCCCATGTACAGACAAAACAGAAGAATCCTGGTACATTCCTCAAGATATTTGTAGGTCCCACATGCCTGCATTGTTTATAGAATGCTCCTTTAAAGCAGCCAAAAACAATAAATTATTTGATATACTGTGAGATCAATGATATGCTTTTATTTGCCATCTGTTTATATCTAGACATATCTACCAATCCTTTTTGGAATTCATTGATTTTCTATTTTATATGTCAAACTGTTTATCCTGCAATTTTAAATGACATGTAAAGTGAGTTATTTGACTTGTAATGTGTCATTGGTGGAATTGCACTTCTGATGTTCCTTTGTATTAGTTCCCTTGAAGTTTCACAAAAGAGTTTCCATTTGAAAATTTAGAGCCCAATGCACCTTCTGAGGGTAGAGAGTGAAGTCTTTAGGCAGTTAAGCTGAATTTGTTTCTAGTGACAATAGTAATGACTAAAAGTTCACCGTGATTTACTGTTTTCGTTGATTGATTGAGGAATGCAAAATCTCATCCTGTGACTTTTGCTTTAGACGTTTTTAAGGTTGATTTGTAAGGTTCAATAGCTTGTTATTGATTATATTGTTGATGCTGCTATTTGTCATAACATATGTATGCTGCAGCATTCACACTTGGTTTCCTGTGACTTACTATACTCTTGACTGCAGAGAAACAGGAAACTCGAGAGAATTTCCGACCTAGTTTCGAACTGAAAGTCATATACGCTTCTCTCGCTTCCTTGAGAAGGATGATACCTATATATTCTACATTGGCCATTTCTTTTCTATCCTGTCATCTTGCACGAGAGGCAGTACTACCTACAGATATATATAAATGGGTATTAGAGGCAAAACTTCCATACCTCTCTGCATTTATTGAGCTGGAAAAGCACCTTGGACCTTTTAAATTTTGCCCATTTAGTTCAAGACAGTTGTTCAGGCCCACTGGAGTTATCAGTGCGTCGTTATTAGAAGCGACTGGTGCCTCTATTGCTCAAAGTATTGGCCTTAGAACCCCTTCAGTGAACTTTTATGCTATTGCTCAGCGTTATCTCAAATCACTTTCTTTGCCTGTGGCTAAGATCCTTCCTCAGGCATGTCGTCTGTATGAATGGTCTCTTCCATCTGAGTTATGGTTGTCTAGTTGTAATTATGCACTTCCTACTCGGGCTTATGTGATGGCAATATTAATTGTTGCCATAAGGATTTTGTACAATATTCACGGCCAAGGAATATGGGAGAGAAGTCAAATTGACATGAGTAATTCTACTTCATTTGGGCACAAACACCACGGTGCTGCACAGGAGAATGATGCCACAGAGCTATCCGCTCCAAAGGACTTTCCGTGCAGTCAGAATTCTGAGTTCTGTACGAAGGAGTTGCTCCAAATTCTTGATACTGCGTATCATAGAATAAGTACTACACATGGCAAGTATTCTTCTAACAATTATTTTTTTAAATTGTGTCATTTCATGTCTTTTGATTTGATTTACTTAATCATGTGTGGATTGTGATAAGAACTCAATTCCGAATATAATCTCTGTTATTGAGAAATTTTCCGAAAATCTTATTAATTGATTGGAAGAAGCATCATAATGACATTTTCCTTTCATGGTTTAATGATAATAATAAAGCTGACCTCCATAAACCATATTAAGCTTTGAATGCTTATCACTATCGTTTCATATAACTTTGACATACTTTTGAAGTACTGATGCACTACTTTGCAACTTAATACCCACCAAATCTAAATATTTCGTAATACACTTGTACCTTCTTATGATCAATTAACAACACATGAGATCCTTTATTGCTTTGATTTTTTTATATTAATTATTTTATTTCCTTAGAACAAAAATAATTTATTTTTGATATTCCTGACATAAAACCAAATTGAACATTTAACATCAATACAGCTTTTTCAAGCCCATGTTTCATCACCCTCTTTCTTTCATTTTTTAACTCATAATTTTATTTCTTCTATAATTATCACAATCCTTAATATTTCTATGTTCTGGAAGATAGGGTCTAAAATGCTCCTCCAATTGGCAAGAATTCTTTAGTCCTTGAATTTTTTTACAAAGATTTATTAATCAAATTATTTCTATTTTTTCAAACAACTCTTTAAATCTTTAGCATATATCTTAGATAGATCTATTTAATCTTTGTAAATCCTTTTTGAAGCTATTTAACTTCATATTTTTAAATCTATCTATATTAAACTTTAATTATTATATTCTTTTTTTTTTCTCTTCTATCAAAAAATGTCCCTTAAACTTAAGGGAAAATTCTATAAGATGTTGGTGAGACCTTTAATGTTTCGTGGCACAAAATGTTACCATTGATAGATAAGCTAAAAATTAAGTTAAGTGCTGTAGAGATGAGGATGCTCAGGTGGATGAGTGGCTTTACATTTAGATACAAGATGCGAAATGAGTATATCGTGATAAGGTTGGAGTAGCTCTAGTGACAAATAAGTTAAGAGAGTCATCTTAGATGGTTTAGTCACATAAAATGTCAATCTCCGAATGCCTAGTTACGAGAGTAGATGCATCAAATTTGACATATGTTAAGAAATTGTATATGTGGACTTAAAAAGATTTGATTAGAAAGTATTAAAAATAAAATTTTTATTAGATTTTTGTACACTTAATAGAATATAATGGAGAAAAATGATTCATGTAACCAACCCCATATAGTGGGATAAAGGCTATGATGCATGGACATGGACACGGGACACGACATTTTTTTTAAATATAAGACACGGGTGCGGTGTGGACACGACATAATAATTTTCTTGATATAATATATAGAAATAAGGAAACATAATATTAGAAATGACAAACAATAATAAATCAATGTCATGATAACTTGTTTAGCTTATAATATAAAATGCTTAGTACAAAATATCTAGTACAACCATAAAAATATAAATAAAAAATCATTTAGTACAACATCAAGCTTCAACTTCTCAGTAAAGGGAATGATAGAATTAGCTTCAGATGTTTGTCTTTGGCCTTCAATATTATTATCATTGAATATCATTGCTTCTAATTCTGGTTCATTAATAGAAAGATTTACAATCTCCAATATTCCCATATCATCTAGGGACTTGAACTCATTTATAGCAACATCCTACATCTTGTTATCACTTGCAATATAAAGTGGGGTCTTCCTTAACAGAGGACGGAGATTTGTATGTACATAAATTAAATTTTCAGCATGCTGCGAAGTAATTTTATTCTTCTTCATCGATTGAATAAATGAGTATGTGCTCCAATTTCTCTCATGGCAAGAGGAGGATGAAACTTGACCAGGAAGTTTTATTGTTATTGTTTGAAGAAGCGGTGCTGAAGCTCCAACCATTACATCTTTGGATCCATCCTCCATCTATCAACCAAAGATTCTTAATCACAAAAATCCTCTAAATATCCAAAGAACTTTGTAAGTTCTATATTAAACTTTCTTCTCTCCTCATCTAGGAAATATCATTTCAAACATGTCTTTCTTTTATGGTGAGATATGTTGAGGGTCTTTTTGAATCTATTATTTACTTGAATACCTCCAAATAATACAAATAATATACAATTATTTATTCATTAACCAACTAATTACAAACTCGTTTAGAAAATATATTCAAATTTATTTTGGATTTAATGAATGAGTCAAACAATGAAAAGATGTGTTGCTTTTGCTCCACCTATCCTCAAGAATAGTATAGACAACGCTTCAAAAATTTAAGTTTACATCATGTGTCTTTCTTTCATGTATGTATATAATTTCTTTCATTTTTGCTAACATAGAGTCCCATATCTCATAAATCAAATGTAGGAATGATTTATCTGTGTCAGTCTCTCTCAACATATCATAAATTGGATCAGTAAAAGCTAAAATATAATCTATATCATCCCACCACAAATCATCTAAGACATTTTCTTTCACATGTCTTGGATTCTCAACATCATTTTCTCGATAGCAAGACCACTTCTCACTAATCATCATAGATTGAAGAGCATTTTTTTATTTCTTTGAACCTTCTCAACATGATTATTACAGAGACAAAACGAGTTTATGCAAAAGCTAACATTATCAAATGTGAGAAATTATTAAAGATTGAAAGTCTTATTGAGTGATTCATAATGAAATTTCTTATCAGAACATCACCTACAATCACTGTTATTTTAATAACATTCAATATAGATGATTTCATTTGCATCTGTATTTTTAGCTGTACAAATATTTTTTAGGGCAAGATTTAAAGTGTGCACAACACATGTAGTCCAGAAGAAATGAGAATATATATACTGGTGTATTAACATTTGAAGGTCCAATCATTGCTATCACCTCTTTAATAAAATTGGAAATAAAATAATCCTTGTATTATCCTTTATAATTCATAGCTTTAATAAACATCGGGTAATTCTCTGTAGCAACCATGAAATTGTTGAGTGATCTTCTTTGAAGATAAGTTCAAACATCACACATCAAACTGACACATTTTTCTTTCACGCTCCTTTCATTGGTTCAAGCATTGTCTCAATATTTGCTCTTTCCCTCTCCAATAATTGTGATCTTATTGAATTGTATTCAGGTAGAACATAACATGCTAGGTTGTTATTACATTACAAAAGTAAATGCATTTTTATAATAAGAATTTCTTGCATGGTTGAGAGGTCCAAAAAAATATCTTTGCAATTTCACCATCAATTTGCTCTTGCGTCTGCTTGTTAAAAACCTTCTCTAAAGAACTACTGGCAACTACTTTTCTTTTCTTTTCTTTGATTCATATCATTCACTTCTAAATGAACTAGCATGATCAACTCCAACGGAGGAGGGAGAAGTGATTTCATTGATATAATTTGATTATGTTTTGTTTAAATAAAATTCGTATTTATTACATCATTCAATTTGACGGGGTCAAACCGTCGGATCGTGAACCTCCTCTTCCTCCGGTTCTTTGTTCGGTTTGGTTTTCACAACCTTGTCTCTTATATATATAATACTTAAATATTACATTATATATCATGGTCATATTTTTTTTTAGAATCATCTTATAAAGTTTGCAAAAATAATTTTTTTCCTTTTATAAACATTAGTGTTCCTTTGATTTAGCAGCTATACTGTTGAAAGAGATTTAATGTTCATTTCTGAAAGTTGTGTTTTTCATTGCAGGAGTATGTGCTCCTACAAAATTAATTATATGTTTGAGCATCTCATTTCTTTCTCCTCCTCCAAATCTACCTTGAATCTTCTCATAACCCATCCTATTAGAACCCTCAAGTCCATTTTTAAGTTTTTTGTATAACTTCATCGTAGTTTATAAGAATGTCTTTTATCACAATTAAGTACCAGTGGTTAAGAAGAATTTAACTATTATTGAATATTTTCTCTTCAAATAGTTGAGAATTTTAAATATCTTCAAAGATCACTTATTAATAGATTTAGATAAGCTGCTATTTACTAAAACTTAACATGGCTGAATGATAGTAATGATTCCTGCCATCAAAACCTAGATGAATCATCTTACAAATTCTTATGTTTCTTCTAGTTGGTCAATAATAATGTGTTTCATACCAGAAAATAATTTGATGATTAGTTGCATGTCTACATGAGCACTTTATTGTTGTTGATTCCATATCTACTTTTGATGCGAAAACATGCGTGTAACAAAATAAGGATGGTTGGTCGGTTAAAAGTTTACACTCTTCCTGACATTCGTCAAATCATTTACCCCATTTTGTGCTATAATATGCTATCAAGAGGATCTGTGCTACATGATTAATGTGACTAGCTTATTTTGTAAGTCCTTATAAATCTTTTATTCATTTAAGACATTGGGATTTTGAGGAGAAAAACCATTAGACTAATGTTGACCTATGTACAAAGAACAAAAAAAGGGAAGAAAGAAGAAATCCAACGTATACACCTCATACATGTTGGATACTCAAAACCCTGTCGAAATCATGCCGATTCGGCGCCGTTCGCGTCACTTCCCGCAAAAGCTGCATCTCACCTCGATAATCGTCGCCTCTCTCGGTTATAAAAGACAAGCAGAGGGAAGCTCTGCGGTCGGTCATTCAATACTACACAGCCAGCTCGAGACTCCTTTCATGCTGAGCTGCAGCACCCATCCGATTCCAAAGCCTCAAACCATCTCTACCTCTCACCCATACCCAATCTCTGCTCCTGACAACAAAGCCGCCGAGAGCCTCATACCCGACGCCCATCTCTCCTACTCGAAGCCTCCATCTCCCATTTTCTTTGATCCAGAGAGAGAGAGAGAGAGAGAGAGAGAGAGAGAGAGAGAGAGAGAGAGAGAGGGAGCATTCTACATACCCGAAACCCTCCGTTCGACTCTTTCGCACCCTCGACGTTCTCTGCCTGTTGGAGCGTAAGTTACGACATTTAATCGGAAGTAACAGTGGGAGCTCGATCGCTGTGAAGGTAAATTTCTCCCTTTCACGCGCTCTTCTTCAACCAAATCCAGTGAACCCGCAGAACTATAGAGATAGGAAAGGGAGAGAGATTATATGATTTTGATTATAATTAATTGTAATTAATAAATTAATTATAATTATTATAACTAATTTTAATTAATTTTAATTAATCTTTATTAAAATTATTATTAATAAATTATGATTAATAATTATATTTTTAAATTAAAAAATTAATTAATATTAATTATTTATAATTAATTAAAGTTATTTATATTAATTATAATGACTTATAATTAATTATAATTAAAAAAAGAAAAATAAAATATCTTGCCTAACCTCGATGTGTGTATCGAGCCGGCAAACCACCCATGCACGCTTTTCTCTATGTGGTGGGAGGGAACTTGGTACGACACCTACGACGAGGTAGGTGAGCGACCCTTGGCCAAAATCCTATCCTCGGCGTTCATGTCGAGCCGGCAAACCACCCATGCACGTTTTTCTCTAGCGTGGTGGGAGGGAACCCAATTCGACACCTATGGCGAGGCAGGTAGGCCCGGTGCATACTTTTCTTAGCATGGCCGGGATAATTTTAAGTACCCGTACGCGGCTCTGTACCTGCGGTGAAATAACTGCTTTTCTTGTAATAGGTACCGAAGACCCATGCATGCCTTTCTCTGGCGTGATGGTTTTAAAGATTTTACGGCCGCGGTGTCCTCGTTCGAGGGCACCTATCGTGCATGCTTCTCTCTAGCGTGGCGGGAGGCCCAGTTTTTCATAGTTTTCCCCTAAACGGGGGAGACGCTGGGAGGTTGCCGAAATTTCGAGTGAATATACGACCGCACTTGGACCTGATTTGAACTCAGAACAACAAGAACTTGAACTCAAATAAACAGTGGACTTGAGGACCTGAACTTGAACAAAATCTAAATGATGAATAAAAGGTCAAACCAAAGTAAAATAAAATCAAACTGGAGCCAAATTCAATATCAATTTGAACATGCGACTAAACTTACAAAGACTTTAGAAGACCCTGAACAAGCACTTGAACTCAAATTGTACAACTTCAAGTGGAACATGGACCTGGATATGACATAGTGAATACGCACTTGACTTGCAAATGAAATTAAAGATGAAAGCTTGAACCTCAATGAACCATGTTTTAAACATAAAATCAAAGTCAAACAAATATGCAAGGATTTATACCTAGCCTTACAAATCCAAACTTCACTTGTTTGGGATACAAATGAATGAAGATGTCAAGCTTTGTATACACGAGGAATGATGTGCGGCGTTTACATTAATCATTGCAAATGAATGTGCCTAAGATGCGACAAATACAAACACCCACGAGCTCTTGTAGGAAGGATATTGCAACATCCTTGCAACCAACATTGAGGTACAAGCAAGCACACTACAAGACCTCAATGCGTACAAACAAAGAATGTAGTTGATTCTTACAACAAACTCTACGAGATCAGGTGCATCGTACCTGCAAGAATGATGAATGGTTGTAGAATGCATGGGTGTCTCCTACATGCATTATTTAAATCTCCAACACTAGCAACATTGCCTGTAGATTGAGATGGAAACACTGACAATTGATAGTGGAAGACTCGTCCTCGCAAATAAGTACAATCAATGATCACCTGAGATTGGTGAAAGGTGGATATGATGCAAGTACAATAGGCTATTTTACAAGTACGTTTGGAGAATTGTAGTGAATATAATCATTCCTTGTGAGCAAGGACGGATGATACAATACACTTGTGGATAACAACAGTAGTTATATTGTAAGTACAATGAACCATTGTGGACACAATTACAGATAGCACCTACAACAACGGTGATTGAGATACTGCAAAATATGTAGGGTATAAAGACAACTCGATGTACGAAAAAAGACACCTCCTGGTAGAATGGAAGAGATGTTTGAACAAATTTGAACTAAATTTTTTGGTGTTCCAAAATTTCTTCTTGGTCCTATACTTAGAGAGAAAATAGTTCTGGCACCCACAAACACCGGAAATAACAAGTCTACTACACTGATGATCCTAAAAGGAGTTCTTTTCAAAGCAGCGGTCACGAATTTCAAGAAGGATCTCCCGATGAATGAGAAAAGGAAGTTTGTATCAAAACAATGAAATATCTCGTGAGATTCAGATGACAACGCTACGATTCGCATGTATCTAAAGGCAAAGGATTAGTTAGTGCACTACAATCTACTTGCATAAATCATACAAATAGTGCACAATAATCTACATGTATAAAGCAGCAAACAATTCAATCCACAAGCTATTATGCCCCGCCACCGGATCCGCAACATCTATGCAAGTGGACAGAAGACGTTTAAAAATATTCTAAAAATACCCCTGCACGTGCACCGTAATTTGTATACACATAGGCACACAAAGGGGTAAATGCAATCATAAACCCGCATGGGCCCCGGTGAGCGCGTTATTGATACACACGTGACGTCTAGGGATGTTGCGCGAGCGAATGCGTGAATTCAAGTTCAAACCTGATCCTTCTATGCAGATCAATAGGAGTTGACCGGGTTCGAACAATCAAACAAATATATGGTTACAACGACCGATATTCTTGTTTTAATGCATTCATATTAGACCTTCAAGACCTATAACAATGAGAATTCACTAACAAATACATAAAGCCTATAAAACCCGATCCCCTATTGACAAGTTGATAGGGTTGATAAAGTTCAAGCTTTAAAAAAGAAATAACCCCTTTTAGCCCAATGATAGCCGTGTTGAACAAAAATCTTAACCGAAGGGGTCAACAAATAATTTCAAATGCCTTCCGAGCTTCATCTTAAATGCTCACAAAAATCCAAAAATAAAAAAAAATATCAAATCCAAATATTTAAAATCGAAATCAATCACCAACCACTTAAAGCAAAATCCATCCACCCTCCGCAACAGTTTGCCGAGGTGGACATATTCGAATATAACTTTAGCTCACAGAGCCAAATGCCTAGTCGGTCCATTCTCAAACAATCTCCTGCCAATAAGGACGTGGTACGTTCTAATCGGCAGTTTTGCCGCCAAATGGCACCGCATGATAAACGATTATGATCGGGGACCCTCTGAACCGAGTTGTTTTGCCGCTAAATGGCACCACGAAATACCAGTTATGTCCAGAGCCAATACGCTCCTTAGTGACATCAAATCCTTGATATATGAATCAATAGGATATAATCGATAGGCACAAAGCCCTTTGTTAGCTAAGGTGGATTCAAATTTGTCCCCTTAGGCAAATATTCACACCAGGTCTATATGGTACCCTTGAACGAAGCAACCCATGGCTACCGACAAGGATCCTTCTGTCAGGTTGGGTCGACTACCTCCTATGACTAAGTAAACCAGGGACCACGATGGCCCGGACGACGGAACCATGAGATCTTGATCGGGTTCATCATCCATTCCCCCACCATCCGCGTTAAGTGCAAGATGGCAAAATTTCTTATTTTAAATATCAAACTTTTCAAATTTTCAAATCCAAACCCAATTCCTAAATCTAAATCTATGCTGCTACTATATGCTTGATACTTCGTATCTATGGATACAATGTATCTGATTGACGACTAGCCTTAATTGTTCTCTCTTGTGACCGGGAGGGGCAATTGACTGTAGGTGCTTGCACCTATAGGAAACCAGAACTCAGATCATAAAGCCCTCGCAAAATGAGGGCAAAATCTCTGGGTAGTGTCTTATCTACAAACCCATCTGCCTTCCAAAATTTACCCGGAACTTAATCCGTTAAAACTCCCCCGAAAAAGAAAAAAGTATCTACAATCGGGCGGAGGGCGGGGCCGAATTTTCGGATCCCACAACTAATTTTACCAAGATCTACATTGACATTATTATGGATACATTGAACTTAAGCTAACCTCAGTTATTATGAGCTTCAAAGATTGAATAGCCTTGAGATGTTTTACTATGAGAAACTTTTCAATGGAACGCAATTCTTTTGTTTATTTTTTGGTTATATTTTGTTAAGCTTAGTTTTTTTTTTTTGCATCTTTTTGAATTAAAATGGGAAAGGATTAAAATGGTCACTTGAGTCTTTATGAAGAATCAAAATTGCTTCCAATTATATTAAATGATCATTTTTGTCCCTCAAGTTCTTAAGAAGGAATCAAAATAGTCTCATGATAGAATTATTTTGGTTGTTCCTTAAAGAGTTGACAGGTTAAAATGATCCTTTAATTTAGTTGGAAAATATTTTGGTCTTTCATAAAGAGTCAAGGAACTATTTTAGTTATTTTCTCTAATTAAAATGAATGATTCGGGATTCAGTCATTATTTGTAGAAATTAATGTTAAAGGGTAATTTTATAAACAGTAGAAAATTTTGATCAAGTATCAAAATCCCCTTTCTGAGTAATTATTCTAATTTCATTTGCTACTTGATTTCATGCAGAGTATTCAAAGGACTTGCGCTCTTATCTCAAATATTGTCGAGATGTTATTTTTGCTGGTTTGACTCCATCATATGAGGAAGGGAAGTTAATTGAAAGACTATGGGATTTATATGATAAGGAAGAGGTGAAGTTTTTTGTCCTTTTGCTACATGCATCTTGCATATTTGGTTTTTGTAAAAGCTATATTGTTAATCCGTTTCTTCAGAAGATGGAGCATGTTCTTCAGCTTGAGTACAAGCTTTGCTTTATTTTATGCATATTTTATTTGTAGAGGATAAGAGATAACGTTGTCAATGCTACAAATGGGCATATTAATCTTTTTGCATGACAATTTTCTTGTCATGTCTACAAATGGTGTCTTATCCAAAAGACTAAGGCTTTCGTTTGGGATGGCTTTCTTTTTGCTTTTTAAAGTAGTTTTCTAATACAAAATTTTTTAATTTTATACTAGAAAGCTGCTTTAAAAAACAGTAAGAAAGCCGTCCCAAACGAAAGCCCAAGTGTCCCTCATCCAAATTCCATTGCTTTAGCATAGTAGCACTTCTTTGGACAACAAATTAAGAACTAAAATAAAATCGATTTTTTTTTTAATGTTGATTTTGATAGAGGAGCCCTTGCAATTAGTTAATCATCATCAAACTCGCCATTTGCTATCTCATTATGTATCCCTTTTGGAGTCGTGTTAATCTTTAATGAGCAAAGAATATGATTCATAATTGTTCATATATGAAATCGTTGATTGAACTTTTATTTGGGTTGACTAGAAGAGTTACTACTTACTATCCTATGTTGGTCACATAGAAGAGAGGTTCATTGAAGCATAGATATCTATCGTGAGAATGTATGGACTGATTTGCTCTTTTAATTGACCAAAGAAATTCAATCGATTTAATGTCAAATGCAAGATCGGAGTCAAAGGAAATCGATTTAACATAATACCCATATGTTAAATGTTAACAAACTCTGGTCCTTGTCACAAAGGTATAATACTATAATGACTTCTATACATTTTTTTTTTAATAAAATTGTTATTTATAATGGATGTTATTTTCATAATATGTAGAGTACTTTCTCATTTAATACAAGTTCATTGATTTTTCCTGAAGCCTGGCTAATTTCCAGATTGAAGATGAGCATATTGATGAAGAGACCGAATTTTTCGAGCTGAAAGGAAAAAGGCCTAGGATTGGAGAACCTACAAATCTATCCAAGGATTTCAAGGAAGGAAAGGATGGAGAACAAGCTAGCAAATGCAAAAAAATATGCACTTCGCCGAGTAGTTCGAGGGCTGCCAAAAACACTTCCAGAGAACATATGAAGTTCGACATGGAAGACAATGGCTTTCAGTACCTTCCACCAAGGGGGTTGAAAAAGGCAGATGGTTATCTTCACTATAGCAGACAGAGAATAGATGGGAATCTCATTTTTGTTGCTCATGCTGATTATTACATATTGCTTAGAGCCTGTGCAAAGCTTGCCCAAGTTGATCCTCGTATTCTGCATGTTGGGGTACTTAAATTTGAGAAGAAGCTTGAATGGATTGAGCAAAGAATTGATCAAAGCTTGATTTTGTTGCGTTCACTGTTCTCTCCAAGCTGATTCCCAGTTGAGCTCCAGCTTGAGTTGAAACAAATTGGTATCTTTCTCATTTTATTTATCCCACTTGTTATTGGCTCATTAAGTTTTTTTGCAAAAAATTACATGGTTATTAGATTATATCAATCTCACTAATTTTTATCAAATATGGATGCAATGAATGAAATATTAAAGTTTATAGGATGATATGGGTATTAAGAATGAAATATATGAGTGATATATTTGATATTAAATTTGTCTATGGGTGGTAGACATGCAATGTTAATATTTTGGATGTTAGATATGTAAATAGCATGATATAAAAGGGTATGTTTGGAAATCCCTCGGAATTGAAATGTGATCAATTATCAAGGTGCATGAATCACAAATGTGTGCTATAGAAAGTCAGCATATATTTTGTAGAATATTTTAAAAGGATTGTGTGGTAAAATAAAATGTGTTTGATTTTATATAAAATAATTAAATTTTTTATTTTTTTAAACTCTAGTTTATTTTTTATGGATTATAAACTCGCTCAATTTTGATCTGAGTTTTTTTTTTCATTGCAAGCCAACTATATTGATGATGCCTGCCAATTATATATTTTATATTTATTTTATAAATTTGTGCGCATGTCGAATATAAATAAACATAGGGAATTATCATTAAATATATTAATAATTTTGACTTATAGCATCCTTTGTTAATAAAATTGATTGAAAAGTTAATATGAAAAGAAATGCTTGTTAAATTTGATAAATCTCTAGGGTATTGGAATTATATAATTAAACTAATTACTATAAATTTATTAATTCAAGGAATTAAATATATAAATCATAATGTTTCAATCACATAAAATACAATTAATCAAAGTGAATCTAATTTTATCAATCCCAAAAATAGCACCAAATCCCTACAATTAATAAAATTATTTTCATTTTTTATAAATATAAAAATTACTATGAATTATTAAAGATCAGAAGCATTTACTTAAATCCCCAATTCCATTTACACAATCAACAATCTATCAGTCATTAACTGTCAGCAACTTTGTAACCGATCATAGCTTCAATGGAAGGCACAAATGATCTTACTTTCCATTCTATTATAAAGCAAATTGGATAGAAATTTTTCTCCAAATTCGTTTCAGAGGACTACTTTAGCAGTAGCCTACAGGCTTCATTTGGAACTATTCTTAAAGCGGCTTTTTAGTACAAAAATTAAAATCTATGTACTAAAAAGCCGCTTTAAGAAGCAGGAAGAAAGTCGTCCCAAACGAAGCCTAAATCAACTTTAAAATCAAGCTTCCAGAATTAGAATCAGAAGAATATAGTAAAGGTCTAAAAGCTATGAAACTGGGAAGCCATACACTTCTGCAGTGATTAAATTGCCTGAAATTCATTGAATTTAGTTCAAATTGCCCTTGTTTTAGTCTGGACTTACACTCAAACACAGGTGCCATTCAAGCATTATTAGCTTATATTTTGCAAAAAAATACAAATCACATGAGATGTTAGCTTGCAAATGGGACTAACTGTACAGCTCAATTATCATTTGAATGGAAGTCAGATGGCTCAGAACTGTCCGGCTCTGATGTCGCGATCGAGACGATCGGCATTTAGTGTGCCAGGAAGCTCCCTGAAATCTTCATTGAATATGGAATATGCACTGCAAAAGGAACAGGTAGAAGGAGCCACTAATAAGAAAATAGTTCTATGTTTGTTTAATGAAATGAGGAAACCAAATTCAAATAATCTCAAGAGATCCACTTTTTTAGACGTGAATTGTGATTTCATAGCAAAATCAATAATATCTTAAAATTAGCTATCTCGTGAAGTAACTCCCTCCATATTTTTACAACCATGGGGATAATTAGTAATAGCAAATGACTATGGGGTTATTGGCATATGAGCAGTAGGAGTGTATTGTATTATGTTTATGCATTTTAAACAAAATTTGAACTTGAGTTGAAGCAAAAAGAATGCAAAGTTAAATTTGAAGGGATTTGAAAAACCTCAAAATTATAATTTTCCAAATATTTGAAAATTACCCAAATCAATCTATTTCCAAATCTCGTATTGCCCATGCAATCCCTCACTCGAGTCCCGCGTTCCTTGCTTGCGTACTTTTTGCTTCGCATTGTCTCCCTTGTCGTTGGCCTCACACTCTCACCTATATTTATCGACTCCTCGCCTCACATCATTCCTTTAAAGATTATAGATAAATAAAAGAAAATATTTTAATTATATTTGAATGATACAAAAATATTTAACAGCGTTTGATAGGCATACAACCAAATAATAACCATACTTTTCAAATGCATGCATTCCAAGTACTAAAAGAGGTAAAAGACTAAAATAATTCCCTGACATTTTACAAAGAACTAAAATAATCATGAACTATTTAAAAGTTTTATTTTAGTCAATTGACTTTTTAAATTGGGATATAAATGATTCAATGAAAACTAATTTAATCCCTATATAAATAGCATAGGGACCAAATTGGTGCTTTAATATAGTCGGTGACTATTTTGATTCTTCAGAAAATGCAGGGACCAATTCGATACTTTTGTCATTACTAAAATATTTCTATGATGCGTGCATTTTAAAAACATCTAACCAAACAAAAATAGCACAACATTACCAAGCAGAGTCTTGCCAATCTACCATTGAAAAAGTAATACTTAATCCTTGAGCATTTCTCTTATATTAGTTTTCTCATCAAAACGGGGAAGTAGTGCATTGTTATAAATCAGAAGACAAGACCTTGCGTATCTACTAATGCAGCATGCACCTGAAAATTATTATAGCAATGCTAGATGCTCGATACTACTCCCAACATATTGTTCCTCCCACCCAAATACAAAGAAAGCAATATTGCATGACACTTCTCTGCGACACCCACTTGAGCCGAGAAAAGCTCTACTTTTATCAAATGGATGCTTTATTTTGCAGAAATGCATGGGACAAGAGAAGCATAAATGATGTAGAACTAAATGCTTTAAATGAATGAAATAAGAATTTGTACGAGCTCTTGAATTAAGCACGTAAGATTACCACTATTAGCAATCAAAACGACGATAGAAAACAAAAGAGGGGTGCCTACGTTTAGGCTAAGCCACAAGCCAAACACTTGGAGATTCAAAACAAATAGAAATTCAATAACATGCAAAGTAAATAGTTTTCAACAAAATCCCTAATCTAACAATTAGATTAGAAGCATAGAAAGTGTATTTAATCCTACGTTTACTAAGCTTTGGTAATGGTGAAACGAAATCCTACGTTTACTAGGCTTAGGCAAAGGTGAAGCTCGGCTCCTTGTGAATCGTCATCACCTACAAGATTAAGGGATTAGAAAAGTAATTGAAAAGGGGAAGAAGTTCACCTAAGTCTAAGTCCGGAAACAAGTAATCTAGATGTTGAAGAAGTTCGTCGTAGTTTTCCTTTAAGTTTCAACTTTGCTGAAGCCCGGAATCAAGTAGTCGAGAGGTTAAAGACGATGATCCTTAGTTATCCTTGCCGCTTCCCCTTGAAAGATATGGGTTTCTTTCAAGAATCCAAGTACTTGAAGGTGGGAGAAGGTGGCCGGCCGAGGGGAGAGGGTTTGGGGAATTTGATTCAGATTTTGGGGAGGCTTACATGGGGGAATTTAATTTATTTCCAAATATAAGAGATCTTTGGGAAAGAAATTAAATTGGCATGGGCATAGGAATTTCGGCCAAGGAGGAGGGGAGGGGTTTTGAATAGTTTTCAAGAGAGACGGTGGGCTTTAGGAAACAATTCCTAATTCACCATTAAGGGGGCCGGCAGCTATGGAGAGATGGGAGGATGTTAATTGATTTCCAATTGGAGAAGTCCTCCAATGGAAATAAATTAATTAAGTGGGGTTAGGGGGGAATTCGGCCAAAGGGAGGAGGGGGGATTTGAATTGCTTCTAAAGAGTGGGGAATTCATTCCTCCCTTCAAACAATTTAATTGTTAA